TTTCCATATTGTTCAGTACAATGTCATGTTTGAATATGTGGTTATAGAGATACAAGTAAAAATACTTGTATGTCTGGTGGGCTAGTCACAAGTGAAACTCTTATGAATTCCTGAACTTGTTATTTTATTATTACAACGGTTTTATCAACTTGCAATGTTGTATATCCAGACACCATTTATAGCTATAAAACCTTTGCTTTGCAAAGATCCTATAAACAAATCTAGACATCAACCTCGTCGGTAGGTATCATATCAAGGAATCCATTAAACCAGAGGTGGGCACTACAACAAACAAGCGTGAGCTAAAAGTGAGAATGTGTTAGTGTGCCTAATTCCCCTGCAGGAAATGTGTCAAACTATAAGCTAACTTTAAGTTGATTAGGAAGGAGCTAAAAGTCACTTATTATCTGTATATTTTCTTTGACGAAAGCTAACTATATTTCTATGACGACGGCCGCGACATAGTCCAGGGTGATTACATCTGCATTAGAAGTAGTCAAGGGTGGTTACCTCTGCATTTGATGCAACTAACTTGTAGCTAACTACTTTTGGGCATAATATATGAAAAGGAAAAAAATATTTTTATTTTTTTTTTTATTTACTTTATTTTATCACATTTCATATTTCTTTACATATTCTGCTGTAGGTGGTCCCATATTCGAACTCCGTCAGACATAACTTCAAAACGATAATATGAAATTTCGATCTTCCTTTTATTTGTCCTCTATTCGAAAAAGTATTTGCGAAGAGCAGGATATTTAAATAGGAACGCGTTTAAAGAAAACAATCTCGAGCTTTACCCCTGCATTACTTGTCCTCTTGTTTCAAGTTAGCTTTTTGTAGCTAACTACTAGTTACATATTTTATAGAAATCCCGCAGCAAAGCTAACTACAAGTAGGTTATTTTTTATCAATTGATAATTTTCTTCTGCACGGTCATTTTGCATGCTGTCGTGTTCTCATCGCTGCGTTCTCGCTTGTATATGTACACGCGACGCTTACGCTCTTTTAGCACCTGTTCTCTCTGCCCATGTCTGATTAAACTCTAAAAATATGCACTACATACGCTACAGCGGAAATGGATGACACGCCATTTCTTTAAATGAAAGTAATTGGTGCTCGTATGTATGTACATACATATACCCTGTTGGGAAACAAACTAGCGCGGAACTGATTCGGGTCTAGGGCGTTTGGAACCATGACTAGTACGCTTTAAATCTCTTTTGCATGCTAGCGACTGGCGAATTTAACATTGCGATGTCCTAGGAAGTGTCAATTGTCCCCCGTTGTATCCCTTTGGCTCTAGTTCCGAACCAGTTCTAATTTCGACAGATAAGATCTAGTTTGTTTTGCATCCTTTTTTCTATAGTTCCGAACCAGTTCCAAATTCAACAGATGAGATCTAGTTCGTTCTGCATCCCCTTTTCTTTAGCTCCAAACCAGTTCCTAATTCGACAGATGAGATCTGGTTCGATCTGCATCCATTTTTTATAGTTCCCAACCTGTTATAAATTCGTCGCCTAAGATCTACATTTATAATTAGGCTTGTCGAAACATTTTCCGTTTATATTAAATACGATCGATTGAAGGAAGGACAATACCATCACAAATGTTTAAACGCATTTATTAAAGATTTATAAACCACATTAGTAGTAGTAGTAGCATTAAACTTAAGTAGTAAGTAAAAAACAAAAGTGCGTTCTGCTTAAAAGTTAAAATATTAGTTCACTTTGTCTTAATTGTCTAAATTTAAGCATATTGATTTTTAAGTAAATTCAGTTCTTTTTAAGCTTATGTGTATATGAAGTACTTCGAAAGTTTTTGTCGTACTTAACTTAAATAAGTCAGTCAATAAAGTTTAGGTACAGCGAAGTTTTTACAATACCGGCAACTATTTTTTAAATATTTTATTTTTCTCTAATTTTTTATAAAAATATGGTTAATTCTACACCAAAAACCCCAAAAATCAGAGTTCCAAACCTTATGCAAAATTAAAGAAAACTTTGCAAATTTCCATACAAATATTGCAATTTACACTCATTAGAAAAAAGTTAAGTACGCAGTTTTTTAGCCCATTCAATTTTAGTATAACAAAGTGCAAGTTTGAGAAGGCTAGGACTTACCATTAATATTAAGCAATTTTTTGTCCTAGCTTCCTCATACTTGCACTTCATTATACTAAAATTGATTGGGTTAAAAAACTGCAAACTCAACTTTTTTCTAGAGAGCGTAAATAGAAAGTGAATTATTTTAATGAAATTTTGCAGAACAAGAAATCTGGTTCACTAGTTCGTGTTTTCCCTACAGGGTATGCATGTGCGTATGTTGAAAGAAAATATAAATAAGGTCTGATAAAATGCAATACTTATGTATCAGAATTTCGTTGAATTATTGGTGTGTATCCATCTTTGGTTTCGGTAGGGGAAACATTTGCGAATATGTAACGCTTAGCCCAGCAAAAATTTCGAAGGGCTAAACAGAGACGAACACATGGTATTTGTCTCAATGGGTGAATTTGGTTTAGTGATTTGGGCAAGAATGACATGATATGAAACTCTCTCATTTTGCTTCCGAGAATCTAATTTAAACTCGTTTTCTAACTTGTCCGCACTGTCAAATAAAGTTGGACTGAACAGCTGACAAGCAAAATAACGAGCTGCCACTAGATACGCACAAAATACACGGATTTAAGTCCAGTGGATTTCTCGAAAACACATTGAAAAATTATGCCTAAAGATAGTGTTTGCAAGAAAAAACATTTTATATGGTTATTTTTAAACCAAAATATTTAATAAGATACTGAAAATCTAAAATATTTGCTTGTTTGGTTAAATAAAAAAATTTACAAAAATTTGCTCAATAAATCTCCCAATATGCTGCTGTGGCAATATTGGGGGATGTTATGAAAATGAACCTTTCCACAGCACTCTCGCGAGAAAAAGAGTTTCGTGTCATGTCATCTTTGACTTGGGAACCACTTCGGGTACGGGTGGCAGTTGGTAAACAGTCTAGGACGAGTTGGTAAACAGTCATTGGTGACCAGTTGGTACCCAGTGTGAGCTCAGTCAAGTATAAGTTGGGATGAAGTTTGGGGCTATGTAGCCCGAAATTAGTACCATTTAGGGTTCAGTTGGTTGATTTGAGCTCCAGTGGCCGTTTTGAGGCGTTTGAAGGCCTTTTTAGGTGTTTTTGGACGCTGGGAGTGCTTGGGTTGAGGTCGCCCCACGGCAGGCAATGGCAAACCTCCGAGTGAATTTCTGTCATGAAAAACAGTTTCTCATAAAAATACAATCGCCGTTCGGAGTCGGCGTAAAACTGTAGGTCTCTCTCCTTTGTGTGACAACATCAAGGCGAACGCCACAATTCTAACATATGTGTAAGCAATATATCCATCTATTAATATAATTGAATTATTTTAATATCTATTGCTAATTTTATTCAGACAAGACTAAAAAGAAATAAATGAATAAAATAAACAAGTAAAAAGTCTAAGTTCGGGTGGAGCCGAACATTAAATGCCCGGCGCAAGTATTAAATATAGCTTTAAGCCTTTCTGAGAACTACCGTTACATGATAGATGAGTGGATTTACTCTATTTCTAACAATTTCGATAATATGTTCAGTTATACTTAATGAGATAAACTTATATAATTAGATATGGGCGGTATCACGCCCACTTTCCAAAATTACTTATTTTCAAGGGATTATTGTTAGTATCAATTTTAAGTAAATTAGAGGCCTTAAATTTCGAAACATCGAAGTTTCAAGAATTTTTGAAATTTTTCGTTATATGAAAAGTGGGAGTAATTTTAGTTCGATTTAACGTTTTGGTTTTGTGTGGTAAGCGAAATAATCGTACCAAGTTTGGTACAAATTGATCGAACGGTAACCGAGATATACACACCTGGTCATAAGTGGGCGGTGCCACGCCCATTTTCCAAAATCTTATCATAAACGTGTTTTTTGCTAAATAATTATTGCAAACATACAGAGCTGGGTAATTTTTGAATTCGATTACATTTTAATTTCGATTGCTTAATTGTAATCCTTAAATTTTATATGATTACGATTACTTTAATTGTAATCATAAATATTACCATTATGATTATAATAATTGTAATCTTAAAAATTTAAGGACTACAATTATTGTAATCGTAATCATGAAAAACATGATTGTGAATACCGTAATTGTAATCCTAAAAATTTTAAGATTTCTGATAAGTCCAAGTGAAACAAGGTGTAATATGCAACTAAGCTTTATTAAGACTAAATATAAGTAAAAGCTTAAATGTCAAGAGGTTTAACATTACCAATAACAGATGTTATATACTTGTAGTTAGAGTACAACAGAGTATGCATAAGTATACATACATATGTTCATGTACATATTAATTCAATGTTAACAATGTTTCCAGATTAAGCTAGTTCTTTAAGAGTATTTACTAGCAGAGCAATAAGTGATGTGCTCTGATCAGCGGTAGCATTAGAGCTGCGTTCCACAACGCGCTCTGCTCCAGACAGCCGTTTTTGTGTAGCGACGTCCGGGTATGATTGTGCAAGCGGAAGCTCTTCACACCTTTCCTTCAGTTGGTTTTGATGCCGTTTTTGATAACCAATCGGAGTTTCAACGACGTACATCATTTTTCCCAGCACTCTGTCGATGTGACCTTTCATCCATTTTGAACGTCGCGAGTAATTTCGAAAGTATACCGGTTGCGAAGTTTTAACCTTTGGGCTGCTGTATCGTTTTGACTAAATTTGTTTATGAGTAATTGGCGTTTGCGACAGCAAGGTGCGTACGGTACGGCCATGCAATAACTGAACAGGCGTCTTACCTGCAGCATTGGGTACTGAGCGATAAGTCGATAGGTACTTTATTAAAGCAGCGAAAATTGGCAACCCATCTTGTATATTTTTTAACATTGCCGTTTAAGAAGTACGCACAAAACGCTCAGCTAAGCCATTTGACGCCGGGTGGAAAGGAGCTGATGTGATATGCTTTATGCCATTGCCGGCACAAAATTGTTTGAACATATCGGCCGTTTACTGCGGCCATTGTCGCTGACTATCGTTTCGGGGAGCCCTTCAATGGCGAATATAGCGGAGATAGCAATAATGGTGTCAGCTGTCGTCGTTGTTTTCATTTGTGTCACGTAGGGGTATTGAGAGTACGCGTCTACGCACACGAGCCACATACAATTGAATATAGGGCCGGCAAAATCAATGTGAACACGCTCCCATGATCGCATGGCTACTGGCCAATTACTGCACTCGCAAGGTGGGCTAGATGAGTTAGTTTTACAACTTTCGCACTCCTTAGCAACGTTTTCGATGTTTTTGTCAATACCGGGCCACCAGCAGTAGCTGCGCGCAAGCTGTTTCATCTTCACAACACCCCAGTGGCCGTCATGTAAAAGCTGCAAAATGCGTTTACGTAATGCAATTGGAATAACAACTTGGTTTGCTTGGCCCTGCAAGTAAATAATGTTATTATTAACAGTTAAATAAAGCTTTTTGTTGAAAAATGGTCACAATTATGTCGTCTAGATAATTGCGTGAGTTCCCCAAGAGTATGGATTTTTTTGTTGCCGAATCCGAATATCGACCTATTACACTGGCTAAGTGGTGGCGTATTTAGTTTTTTGTAAGTTTCTAACGTTATAATAGAAAGAGACGCTCCGGAATCCATCTGGAACTTTATTAGTTTATTCATTACTTTTAAGTCGATGAAACTTTTATTTTTCTGCTGCTTCACGACCCCAGTCACGGCGTAAATCGTTTCTATTGTATCCACCTCATTGCACCTATGTTTGTTGTTTCGCTTGGAAGTTTTCTGTGTGAATTGTTGCTCCGTTGTGTTTTTCTTCATGTACTTGTTCGTACCTTTCGCCATGCATACCGGTGCTATATGCCCTACTCTACCACACTTACGGCACACAGCGTTTTTAAATTTAGACTGCTCGCGGCTATGTGAGGTACCACAGCCTGAGCATGACTTGTACACACTCTGCTTGTTATTGTTACTAACCCGAGATGTACGAGAAGCTTTTGAGTTTTGAACTGCGTTTACCAATGAAGTGGCTTCGCCAGAAGAGGCCGACGGTTCCTTGAGAGACTGAACTGCCTTCGTTGTGCTCTCAAATGATTCAGCTATGAGTAGAACTTCTGCTAACGTTGGGCTACGTTTTTGTAAAGCAGAAGTTCGAACGGAATCGTGCGGAGTATTTAACATTATCATATCTCGTATCATCTCATCAATGTACTCATGAGCGCAATTATCGGCATTACAAACAAAATTGCACTGAAGGGCTAACCCTCGCAATCCCACTCTTTGTAGCTTTGGTTCGGCTTCATGCTACATTCGTTAAAATTATAACGCGCAGAAATCACGTGAACTTTTTTCTTGAAGTGGTCTGACAATTTTACTATTAGATCGACATAGTTTTGCGTTTGCAAATCCTGACTGCCGAGAAGTTTCTTCAAGAGCTCGAAAGTGTCGCTTCCCAGCCACGACAAGATAAATGACTTTTTCTTTTATGGTGCGCAGACAGCGTATGCAAGAAAATGTTGGTTCAACTGTTCCAAATAGGAGTCCCAACTTTGGAGTTCCTTGTTGAACGCGTGGAATGATGGTACCATGGAACCTTCTACACGTCCACCAGCTTTGTCTCTTAGAACAGACTCCATCCACACTTTTTGTCCATCAAGGATTTTTTTGGGTAACCTCCTGCTGCTGTTCCAGAAGTTGCTTGAAAAACACATTGTAAGTGTTTGCAGTTGCTTTTTCGTCTGGCGTAATTATTTACCGAATCGAAAATTGCTATGTTTGCAAGGCTTATTTTTTATTTTTTTATCACATGCGATGCGTTTTTACTCCTCGTCGCCAGCTGATAAGTCCAAGTGAAACAAGGTGTAATATGCAACTAAACTTTATTAAAACTAAATATAAGTAAAAGCTTAAATATCAAGAGGTTTAACATTGCCAATAACAGTTGTTATATACTTGTAGTTAGAGTATAACAGAGTATGCATAAGTATACATACATATGTTCATGTACATATTAATTCAATGTTAACAATGTAGCCAGATTAAGCTAGTTCTTTAAGAGTATTTACTAGCAAAGCAATAGTTGAATATGTAACAATTTCAAATACAGTAATTGTATTTATGAAAATTACGATTACGAATACTTTAATTGTAATTCTAAAAATAAACAACAAAAAACGTGTTTTTCTAATAGCGGTCGCCCCTCGGCAGGCAATGGCAAACCTCCGAGTGTATTTCTGTCATGAAAATCAGGTTTTTGCTAAAAATGCAATCGCATTTCGGGTCGGCGTAAAACTGTAGGTGCCCCCTTTGAATGACAACATCAAGGTGGACAGTTAATCATAATAAACTCTTATTGGAAGTACTGCCACCACGAGTCTGTGTAGAATATTACAACAATTTCAAACAAATATGCGAACACATAACTTAAAACCATTTTGGTTTATCAAAATCGATATTTGCTCTAAGCAAAGCTAATTTCTCGATTACTGTAATCGTAATCATGAATTGCATGATTTCGATTACTTTAATTGTAATCCTAAAAATGTAAAGATTACGACTGCTGTAATCGTAATCCTAATTTCCATGACTACAATTGCGGTAATAGTAACTTCAAAATGTTTAGGTTTTCTATTACTATAATCATAATCATAAAAAGTACGATGACGACTACAGTAGTCGTAATCGTTGAATTTTAAGGATTACAATTAAAGTATTCGCAATCAAGCTTTTTATAATTAAAATTACAGTAATCATAATACTGAAAATTTTCGGGATTACAATTACAGTAATCATATTCAACAATTTTTATTGAGCTCGAGACCATTTCTTAATGAAAATTTATTGTGGAAAAGCAACAATAATTTGAAAAAAATGGTAGAAGTGATAGCTATTTCGGAAATCACCACATTTCCTCATCAGACTTCTTTCAGTAGGCTTCGAACCGACGATCCCACTGACTCAGCCAGTTGCCTATGCACCGTGCTAGGTACGCCTTTTAAATGGCCTCGAGCTCAATAAAAATTGTTGAATATAATTGTTATAAGGCCAAAAAATAACAAAAACAAATAATTACATTAATCGTAATCATAAGTAATCAAAATATAATCGTAATCATAAAGTGCCCAGCTCTGCAAACATCAGTTTTGAATAAATTAGCTTCTGTGTTTACTGATTTATCGAAGATTTCGTATTTCTCTAAATTACCGTTATATGGGATGTGGGCGTGGTTATTGTCCGATTTTAAAAATTTTCAGCGATTTGGTATGTTGTACAAAGGCTAACAACTGTGCCAAGTTTGGGACGAATTAGTGTAGCAGCTACCAAGATCTATACATGTAATCATAAGTGAGCGTGGCTACGCCCATTTTCCAAAAATTTATAACACGCTTATTTTACGTCTAAAAGTCGTTGTAAATGTCAATTTTGAGTGAATAAGCTTCAGTAATTACTAAAATATCGCAGTATTCGTATTTCTGAAAACTACCGTTATATGGGGAGTGTACGTGGTTACGATCGGATTTCGGCTATCTTCAATACCAACCTACCTTGGGTAAAGGGCAATCTGCCTAATAAATTTGGTTTAGATATCTAAATTTTTGCTCGAGTTATCGTGTACACGGACGGACGAACGGACGGATAGACAGACATGGCTTTTTCGATTTCTCTTTTCTCTTTCTGATCATTTATGTATACATTTGTCTATATCTATCTCGATTCGTTTTGGCTGTTAGAACAAAGTTATAATACCCTTGCGCACAAGTGCGCTCGAGTATAAAAAACTGTTTAATATACGACACTTTTCTAAATGGACTAAAGAGTAGAAAATGATATTTCGCAGTCCCATAGAATTTGTTTTGATAACTTTTGATTTTGAAATTTTAGCAAAAGTGATTACAACCAATTTATCAGATTGAAAAGAAAGACGTGAGGCGTATGTAATAGACTTGAATTGATAAGAAAAGTAATATATCGTCACGTGAAATGCAAAAAGACGTAACAACATCTTAAATGAAATGGAAAAAGTCGTGAATAATATTTTAATTATTTTTTTTCATAAAATGATGTGAGGAGTTGTAATTCGATGAAATCCATCATATAAATCAAAATTGAATTTTGAATTTTTCATTAGTTATGACTTTTTGCATTTCAACGATGATGTTTGTTACATCTTTTTGCATTTCAGGTGACGATATGTACTTTCGCTGTAGAAATTTTAGGTCTATGTTATGTAGTTTGACTATTGTCAGTTAAGTCTAATGCTTTGTATGGCGTGCAATCTCATAAATTGTTTATAATGACTTTTGCTAAAATTTCAAAATCAAAAGTTATCAAAACAAATTCTATGGAACTGAGAAATATTATTTTCTACGTTTTAGGAATTTATAAAATTGTTGTATATTAAAAATATTTTAATTTTATTTATTTGTTTTTTAAATAAAATGTGTTATGGTTTTCTATATCTATACTAATTATATAAAGAGAAGTCCCTTTTTTTGTAACAGGTAATCTCGTGAACGGCTGGTCCGATTTTCATGAAATTTTGTACATAAATAGCTTTTAGTAACCACTATGTTTTAGGCAAAAAAAATTTTACTTTTTTCGGGTAGGTGGACCAGGGAACGGTCTATTCGAAAAAATCTAATTATGGTCCGATTTGCTTAAAATTTGGTACGTAAGTAGCTTTTTAGCATATATTAGTATATATGATCCATTTTTTCCGAGAAGTTAACCAGGGACCAATCTATTCGAAAAAATCTTATTTACGGTCCGATTTGCTTAAAATTCGGTACGTAGGTAGCTTTTTTCCTGGATAAGCTTATAGATTCCTGTTTTCCAATTTTCATGCAATTTCGAATATAAATAGCTTTGAGCAACGGCCATATCAAGGGGCGAAGATTTTTTTGCGCCAATCAGAAACAACGGATACTGTCAAAATATAATTATAATATATAATAAATCTTAATAATCTTAACTAATATATATTTTTAAAGCCGTTTTTCAGTTTTCGCAAGGCTCGAGAGCGGCTGAACCGATTTTTTTGAAACTGCCACCTGCCGCACGTGTCCCAAGGATGGTTTTAGGCTAAAAAAAAATCTATATGTAAAGGGGGCGTGGCACTTCCCATACAAACCGAATTTCTCATGCTACATATCTCTGAAAGTGTGCATGGTAGAGTTCTGGAACTTGGTATGGAGATATACGAAATCAATCGCATACCCTTGGAGAAAAATTTAAGCTATTGAAAAAGGGGTGTGGCATCTCCCATACAAACCGAATTTTTCATATTGCATATCTCTGGAAATTTTTTGGTAGAGTTCTGGAACTTTGTATGGAGATGCACGAAATAAATCGCATACTCTTGTAGAAAAATTGGAACTATTGGAAAAGGGGGGCGTGGCATCTTCCATACAAACCAAACTT